AGGACTCCGCGTCGTCTTGGCCATGCTCGCCGCGCATCTCTCCCCTCGGTGGACGGGCTCCCGACGGCGGCGGCCCGCTGTTGTCCTTTTTCCGCCCGCAGGGAGGCGCCGAGAGAAGGAGGAGGTCCCCGAGCGCCGCTCGCCCTGCGGGCCCACGAAGGGGCCACGCCAGGATCGGGAGCGGCCAAGAGGGGGGTACCCAAGAGTCGGGGAAACGTAAGACTCGGGTACGGGGGACCCGGGTTGGCCTGAAGGGGGCCATCATAAAAATGACGAGACGCGAGGAGGAGTGAGAGGAGGAGGGAGAGGAGGAGGGGGTAGGTAGGACAAGGAGGAAACACAAAGCTGAGGAGGAGGAGGAGGAAGAGGAGGAGGGGGAGGAGGGGGAGGAGGAGGAGGAGGAGGAGGAGGAGGAGGAGGAGGAGGAGGAGGAGGGAGGACTCCGCGTCGTCTTGGCCATGCTCGCCGCGCATCTCTCCCCTCGGTGGACGGGCTCCCGACGGCGGCGGCCCGCTGTTGTCCTTTTTCCGCCCGCAGGGAGGCGCCGAGAGAAGGAGGAGGTCCCCGAGCGCCGCTCGCCCTGCGGGCCCACGAAGGGGCCACGCCAGGATCGGGAGCGGCCAAGAGGGGGGTACCCAAGAGTCGGGGAAACGTAAGACTCGGGTACGGGGGACCCGGGTTGGCCTGAAGGGGGCCATCATAAAAATGACGAGACGCAATCTGAAATTTGACGCGAGCTCCCACTGCAAACATCCCACGATAACTGGACCGTCAACATCCAGGACGCGCTCGTCAAAAAACGTCGGCAAACCCGAGTTCCGGCTTACCCGAGTCTTACGTTCCCCCGACAAGAGGGGGGTGCCCAAGAGGCGGGGGTGCGAATCATGACCGGCGGCACGTGCGCGGCCCAGCGGGGGGGCCAGGGACGTGATGAAATGAGAAGAGGCGCCATGAAGTCTGGGGAAACATCGTGGCCCCCGCCCTGAGATCCCCCCCCCCTAGTCATCACCCCCCTCTTTTTCCGCCCCCGATAGGTGGGGGAGAGATCCGGATGGCATCGGCGATGCATCGCCGGCAGAGCGGCGGAAGGCCCCCGGTATACCGAATCCGAAGGGTCCTGCGGTGCGGTCGGGCCCCCCGTCGGCGATGAGGCGGGCGAGCGGGAGTCAATGCGTTCCCTGCGAGGCGGGGATGTATCCGTATCCACCGCCTGGGAACCGACGTCCTGGTGCCCCAGCGGGCGGTGGATATGCATAGATTGTGGCCCCGGGGGGGCCGAATATGTCCATATCCACCGCCTGCCGAGGCCCCGGAAAATTGATCCTCCACGCGGTGGTCATGTATAGATTCCCGCCTCGGATCCCCACCAGGGCCATACACCCCAGGCGTTGCCCCTCAGCTTCCCCCCTCCCGACGAGGCGGCATCAAAAGCCAGCCCCTCAGCGCCGCCCGCCCTGCAGACGCTAGCGCTTGCGGAGCGTGGGGCACTCGTCCCGGATGAGCGCGTCCAGGCTGTCCGGGGCGTACTGCTCGCCTGGGTCCAGGGTGCCCTGGCGCCGCCGGAGCTCCTTTGCAGCACAATCGGCGGTGGACAAACCTCCCTTTAGTAGACCTCCCCTTAGTGAAAACGGCCTGGGACCGAAACCGACAGACCTGGACCCGCAAAAATGACGGCCGCGACGTCCTCTCGCGAACCGAAAACGGCCAATTCCTAAATCGACGTGTCAGGGTAGGAGGTCTCTCCACCCACGACACAACGGCGAGCGGCATGAATCAGCAAAACGTTCGGAGCTCCCCGCGAATTCCTTGGACCCCTCCCTGGCGAGCGGAGCGCATGAAGGGCGGTACCAGAGGGGCCACCAAGCGGTCCCAGCGCAGATCCGGGCACCCGCGCGGAACTCGGACAGCTTATGCCTTACGCAACTATTCACATTTCGACTCGTGGTGCCGTCGTCGTGGAGGTCGCTCTGGGGGTTGTGTAGGACCTTTCTGGAACCACTCGCTTCACTCTTGCGCCGATGCTGCGTCGACCTTCTGCCGACTTGAATCGATTTGGAGTCGAACAGATCCGCCAGGTGGGCCCCAGGAAAGTCTCCCAAACTGGCATCGAGTGAGAGGAGCGGTTGGCCAAGAGGCCTCCACGAGGGCTTCTGTCAGGGCAGGAGGGCCTCCAAGGTGGCCCTGCCGTATCCGACGGCCGCCCCCCCTCGTCCCAAACCCGCTCAGACCGAGTCCCCAGACTTCCCCTGGGACCCAGTGGTCCGAGCCGCGTCCAGCTGAATGGTCCTCGGAACGGGGCGGGGGCAGGCGCTGGACGGGGAGAGGGATGATGAGGAGAGGAGGAGGAGGAGGAGGAGCAGGAGGAGGAGGAGGAAGAGCAGGAGGAGAAGGAAAAGGAGGAGGCGGAGGAGGAGGAGGAGGAGGAGGAGAAGGAACAAGCAGGCCCTTCAAGACGACGCAGGCGGTGCAACGACGGTCGTCGCAGGCCGAGCGGAGCAAGCGCACACTGGGCCAACCCACGCCCTGGAGATCATCGACCAGGCGTGGCGACGACAGCCTTCGGCAGCGCACAAACCTCCTTCACGACGACGCCGCCGACGACCCGACGCCGACGTCGGCGGCGTCGTAGACGTGGTGAGACAACCGCCAACCCTATCCCCGCCTCCCGTCTGCGCAGCCGCCGGTCCTCTGTGCACTTGCAGTACAGGATGGTGTCCGACACCATGTCGAACACGTTCATGAAGGCGTGGCCGACGGCGAAGCTGATGATCGAGGGACAAAAGAGATGCACAAGCAAACATTTCGGGAGCTCGGGGCGGATTTCTTGGATCGGCGCTGGGGGCACCCTGGCGGCGACGCCGCCCCTGGCGCGCTCCGCGCGCCAGGGGGTCAAGTCCAGCGCCAGTCCAAGAAGTCGGCGCGGAGCTCGGGAATCTCTGTCAGTGTCCTGTTTCTGCACCTCGAGATGAGTCCCGCAGCAACGAGCACGGGCACCGTGTCCTGCACGTACCTCAGGAGCAGCGGTAGGGGGGGATAGGCTCAGTCAGGGGATGCATCGACCCCCGATCGCCCATTCATCGCCGATAGGGGACCGATAGCCCGCTCCTCCCTGGACCATTCGGATTCGCTACTGGGGGCCTCTCGCCGATTGATGGGCGACGTATCGGCGATTCCGCATAGAAGTTCTCCCCTCCCCTGCGCTGGCCCCCTAACGTGCCCCCTCAGTACCACTCGCTGGTGGGGTCGCTGAACTGGTCGACTTGCCGCAACGCCACGTAGATGACCCCCGTGCCCGAGACCGTGATGGCGCCGACGCCGGCGAACTGTATGATCCAGCACGCGCCGTTCAGCACCCCCACCTCGGGCACATTGTGCACCAGGATGGCCAGAGGAGGGGCAGAGACCGCCGCCATCGAGAGCACATCGGTCGCCGGCGAGCCCAGGGGGGAGGGGCCTCCTGGGGCCTCTGGGTTTCAAGTTTGGGGCCTCTCGGGGCCTCCTGGGTTCTGGTGTGGGCCTCTTGGGAGCCGCCTTGGACTGCTGGTGGGCCCCTCGAGGGGGGACCCGCCCCTGGGCGGCAGCACGCGGGAGCGTCGTCCGCTGTCGGGTGGCGCCGGGGCATGCCGCCGCCACGGGGTCGCCCGCCCCCCGCGGGGGGCTCGCGGTGGCGGAGGTCCCGGCTCCTCCTCCGGGATGGAGAGGGCCCTGCGAGCGCCCGAGCAGAAATTGGAGGAGTTGACGGCGATGTCCATGTCCGCCACCGCGCTTGCAGCGGTTTCGGTGTGCGTCAAGCCCTTGCGCTCGTTGCCCAGGAATATAATCGCGGGAAGTAATTGAGAGCCCCCCTTTCGGCAAAAGGATACACTTCCCGCACCTGGAAAGCGTGATCCTGGCACCCGCCGTCAGCACAAGGATAATAGTGATGATGAGGATGATGAAGAAGATGATGAGAATGATATTGAGGATGATGATGCTGCTGCTGCTGCTGATGACGATGATGATGATGATGATGATGATGATGATGATGATGATGATACTGATGATGATACTGATGATGATGATCATCATGATGGTGAACACGAGCCGCCCTCAATATCTGAAACTTGTTTGTTTTGCTATTTGGCGCGATGCTAAAGTTAATCGTTTGGTTACAATCCCCCCTGGAAATTGTCAATATCCGTGTTGTGCTACCGATTATCCCGTGGGGGGCTCTGATTTACTGCTGGCAGTGAGTGAGGGCCCCCCGGCGCATCGAGCCCACAATGCGATCATTGCTGTGACCAGGTCGCTGCGTTGTGGGCCTTCCAAGCATAGGATGGCCCGGGATACGGTACAAGCTCGACCACAAGAAATCTCCCACAAGAAACCCCACCCTGAGACCCCAGAACGTCCATTGACTTCTGGCGCGGGAATGCCACGCATTCCACAGCAAAACCATCGAGACCCAAGAAGCCCAAGGGCACTCTTCAGGAGGGGAAAAAACACACAGACACAATTAATCGTCGATTCCCCAGACAATATGGAAAAATATGGGAAGTGGGGGGGGAAGACAGAAACCCAGAAAATATGTAAAAATATGGGGTATCCTGTTATTTGCTTGTATTTGTTTGTGTGTTTGTGGGCCCCTTCAACTCTGGAGGCAAGCAAGGTGTTTCTCAGCACGGGTTTCCACTGTACACAACCTCGGGAAGGGCGGGCCCATGGCCCCTCCCCCATCCCCCTCTCCTCAAGGCTCAAGTCGGGCGTGCCCCCCTACAGGGGGATTTTCGATGACTAATAAAACACAGCCCCAAAATACCCCAAAAAGGTGAAGAAATACTGAAACAAAAAGTCCCCAGACTATTTTTGGACTGTTGTTTGACTATGTTTGGGGTATTTTTTGTGGTTCGTCGAACATCCCCCTGGAAGGGGACAGGCCCGACGTAACTCAAGGCCCCACCACCCCCCCGCGCCCGCCCGAGCGAGGTGGTGGACACACGCGGCAGCGCAACCATATAGGCGTTCTTGTTAAGGAACTCCATGCTGCGCTGGAAACAGGAGACCACGCACATGCAGCAGTTCGCGGCAACCTCTCCGACAACGTTTCCCTCGCCGCGCGCCTGCTTGGCCAAAAAGCTCAAGACGATGCGGACCACCCTCGTCGCGGCTATGATGAAGGATCCGAACGCGAAGGAGCCCACGTGAAAAAAAATGCCTACGGTGTAGCCTTTGGCCAGTGGGAAGCAATCAACGTCCTCCTTCCGACCGCCCTCGTACGGCGTGAAGTACCAATGCTGGACCGCGTGTGCCAGCACGAACTGGGAGGTAGCGTTCACGGCCTCGCACACCCAGAACATCATGAAAACGTAAAAGGCGATCAGATACAGCTCATCCTTTCAGCATGTTTTAGCATTACGTCAGGCCTGCCCCCTGCAAGGGGATTTTCGACAAAACATAAAAACAATACCACAAACATAATCAAAACATAATCCAAAAATAGTCCGGGGACTATTTTTTGAGTATTTGTTGACCCTTTGGGGGCATTTCTGGGGTATCTTATATTTGTCGTCGAAAACCCACCTGTAGGGGGACACGCCCGACATAATCAGCACGAATGAAACGCGCGCCGAGGAAAACGGGTGCTGGGCATCCCGATCTATCCCCATCACCACGTCTTCATCCTGAGCGTTCGTTGACGGCCCCGCAGCAGGCATCCTGGAGAACCTCTAAGGAGGATCCTGAGGAGGAAGCCATCGGACTCTTTGGGGGGGGTCCTGGTGAACCCTGAGGAGTTCTTGGGGGTCCTGAGGAATCCTGACGTGTCCTGAGGAGTCCTTGGGTCCTGAAGAATTCTAAGATATCCTTAGGAATCCTGAGCAGCCCCTCGGGATCCTGAGAAACCCAGGGGGGATCCTGAAGAACCCTTGGGTGTCACTGCGCAAACAAACAGCAGCTCTGGGCCCCGCTGCCCCGAGAAGCCTTCCTGCATGACGTACTCTTCTTCCCGAGCGTTTGCTGACGGCCCCCAAGCCCGTGGAGGGTCACACCTGCCCGACAATAACACAGACAGACAGCCATTCTGGGCCCCGCCTCCCTCCCCCTCCTCCCCTCCTCCTCCTCCTCCTCCTCCTCCTCCTCCTCCTCCCTCCTCCTCCCTCCTCCTCCCTCCTCCTTCCTCCTCCTCCTCCTCCTCCTCCCTCCTCCTCCTTCTCCTCCTCTTCCCTCCTCCTCCCTCCTCCTCCTCCCTGAGAACCCTTCCCTGCATGACGAGTCCTCTCCGTACTTGAAGGAGCGGAACACGCCGCTCACGTTGCTGCTGCCGGACAGGCTTGCGTACACCGTGTAGTCCTCCAGGCTTAGGGGCGTCACCTCCCCAGAGGACAGCAGCAGGAGGAACCCGGCGGCCATGGCGGCCACCACGCCGAGCTGAAAGACCATCGCAAGCAGCGGCTGCAGCGCCAGGGTGGGCAGGTCCAGAAAACACTCCTCAGGATTGGAGCAAAACAACGACGCAATGAGACGCCTTCGAAGATTCGCGCGGATGTTCTTCTTGGGATGGCGCTGGATCCCTCCCCTTTCCCTGGCGCGCGGAGCGCGCCAGGGGCACCGCCCGAGGCGCTCCAACGGGCTTTCAGCGCAGACCCGCTCACTCCGCACGGACCTCCCAAAGCTACTGTTGGTTGCGTGTTCTGTTTACTCGATCGGATGCTCCCAGAGGTGTGATGGACCCAAGCTTTAGGTCGGGCGTATCCCCCTACAGGCGGATTCTGGAAGAAAAATCTAGATATTCAAAACATATTCAAGAATGATCAACTATTCAGAGAATCGTCTCCTGACTATGTTTGGACTAGTTGTTTAATATGATTATATATAGCCATATGGCCATATAGCCTTATAGCCCTATAGTTCTACCTATATATATATGTGTATATGTATAAACATAAATGTGTTAATACACACATATATATATAACCCTATCGCCCTGAAGCCCTATAGCCCTATGGTCCTATACCCGATAGCCTATGGCCCTAAACAAATATCATTGATTTTTTTGTTCCGTATCATTTCTCCTGCAGACGGACATGCCCGACTTAACCCAAGCTGCACCCCACCTCTCGCGCCATCTGCGGGGGCCCCGTTGCGCACTCTGGGCCCGGTGAGGGGTGCTCCGAGGGCCACCCCTGGGCCGTTTGCGAGACCGCCTGGGGCCACCTCGGGGCCAGGCCACCTTGTGAGCGTCGTCTTCTTCGGCGCTTCGACAGTGGGCGGAAAGGGGGGGGGGGAGGGAGGGGGGGTCTGGCTCTGGACCTCTGCTCGGTGCGAATGCTCGAGGCAGTGCGTCCTGTGGGGGGGACCCCACCAAAACAGGCGCCAAAGACAGCCGAGATCTACTCAAGAGGGGGGGGGGGGGAACGGGGGGGCGGTGCGAGGGCCCGCGCCGATCGGCCAAAAAACACTGAATAAACAAAAAGATCACCTTGGTCAACACCCGAAGACTGTGTTCGAAGTCCGCCCTCGCGCCCCTCCAGGGGTCCGCCCTGGCCGCCTGCCTGGCCTGATCCTGGATCGGCGGCGGTGCCCCCGGGGCTCGAACCGGGGCGCCCCGGAGCCCGCAGTCCCAAGCTAAACTCCAGCGCGAGACCTTCCTGATCATCGCTTCGCCTCCTCCCTTGGGGGAGGCAGCGCCCGTGCCAGTACATCGGCGGCCCGCCTGGAGGGGAAGGCCGAGGGGACTGGCATCCGCAGAAGGTGGGGCTCCTCAGCAGCCCTCGTGCCCGCTGGAAGCCGTCTGCGAGCTCGGAGAAGTGATGGGCCTGTTCCCCATTACCGCCACCATCAGTTGGAGGGGGAGGGGGTCCTCCTCCTCCTCCTCCACCTCCTCCACCTCCTCCTCCTCCTCGTCCTCCTCGTCCTCCTCCTCCTCGTCCTCCACCTCCCTCCTCCCCCCAAACTTATGGTGGTGGTGGTGGAAGACAGGCCCATCCCTCTGAGGAGGCCCGCCCCCCGTGTGCCCCATCCCCCCCCTCGGGAGGCACGCGCCGTGCCCCAAGACACCTGGAAGTTCGCACCCGCCCAACCCCCGCCACCTCCACCCTGGCATAAAACAGGGCTAGGATCGGGATAAATCGATACAGAGCGTTCCGGAGCGCTCTCAGAGCGTTCCGGAACGCTCTGCTGGGCGCGTCACGTCGGTTAGCAACTGCATAGGCCAGATAGCAAGTGGTTGAGCGTGTTAGCAAGCAGTTACTCCACCACTTAGTGAGGCGGTTACTAAGTCGGTTGTGGAGTAGTTAGCAAGTGCGTGCTAACTCGGTTAGCTAACTGGCCTAGGCAGTTAGCTGCGGTTAGCTAACCCACTTAGCTAAGTGGGCTAAGTGGGTTAGCAGCGGAAACCAAGAGTCTCCAGGACGGGGGACGAGAGGGGAAGTGGAGGAGGAGGAGAAGGAGGAAGAGGGGTGGGAGGAGGAGGAGGAGGAGGAGGAGGAGGAGCAGGAGGAGGAGAGGAGAAGAGGGAGGCAGAGGATTTGCTAAAAGCACCGCCCAAAAAGGGTTGGCGGATGTGGCGAATGCCATCGTATATATGCCTCAGGGGTTGGCGGACTCGGCGCAAACCAGCGGATGAAACTCTTTTCCTGCAGTGCAACACGCGGAGCCCCATCCAAGCGGGCTGCAGCTCGATGTCCCATCCAACCTCCCTTCACTCCCCTTTCCCATTCTCCTTACCTACGCCCCGACATGCTTGAGCTTCGGGGGAAGCAGAACGCTGGCGATGTGCCCAACATCGGCCTTCTGAAAAACGCAAGCTTCAAGAATGGAAGAGGTCGTCTTGATCAGGGGGACCTCCTCACGAACAACGCATTTCACAACTTCATTAGTGGACTCGATCACATGCCACGCCGAGATGGCGGACACGTGTTCACCCTTTATGCGGGCGTGGAAAAGAACTCTGCCGAAACTGACCGTGCCTAGCTCAGTCTTGAAAGCAACAACATCATTCATTCGAACTTCCCTGCACGAGATGTAGGCCGCCCGAGCCGTGACGACATCGGTTGCCCCCCAAATCAAGCCACACTCCTGCATAATTTTCAGGAACGCTGGCTTTGGGGGGATCGGATCGACTAGGAAATCTTTGCCGAGGGGGTCTTTCAAATCGAAAAGGTGTTGGACCGTGGTCTCTTCCATGAGACCGCGGCCAAATGATGTCAACGTGCACCTGTCCGAAGCGAATCGCTTCAGAAGCCTGTGCTTCCGCTCGAGAAGAAAGGTCGAGAGGAGACACTTGTGCAAGGCTAGTTGACGGGGCAAGTGCAATGCCATGTGAGCCTTCGGCTTCCAAAGAGAAAGTTGATACGCCTCCTGATGGAGCTTCAAATGATGAACGATCGCATTGCCGAGCTGACCAGCAGTGACGGCCCCCGAATGGATTACCATCAAGAGCTCCATCACATCGCACAACGCTAAAGCGCTCCTGACCTCCGCCAGGTAGTGCTCAACAACTGCAGGGTTCTTCAAAGCAACGTCTCTTAAAAACTTCGCAATGAGTTGAGCTGCAGACAGGAACTCAGACGCGCTACCTGAGGGGCCGTTCCCATCTCGGCACAAGTCCTTCGCACTCGCATAAGCAGATGGCCAGGCCCAGTGCCCGAAGTAGACATCTAGCTTATCCGTGCCCAACTTGGTTCTCTTCTCGCCAAGCCTGGTAAACAGCTCTCGCATCTCAGTGACTAGGACGCCGTCTACGCAGTAAACGTGAAGCCAGTCATAGCACCAAATACTGACCAGGTTGCACGGGAGGTGTTCGTCTTGAAGATAGCTCTCGGGGCAATAGTTGTAGCCCACCTGTGTCTGCACGTCCTCCAGTCGCCCCTTGTCGCCAGTAGCAGCGATCTCGGCCAAACGCCGCTGCCAGAGCCGAACCGTCTCGTCGGTGTGCATCTTGAATTGGCTGACGTCGTAGCTCGCAGCGCTGCACAAGAACCCATTGGCGTTGTGGTCCAAGTACGGGCACTTGTGGGACACGACGTTCATGCACAGAGCACAGATTTTGTGGCCGCCGCTGCCCTTGACGGCATGCGCAAACTTGTGCGCGCGCTCGTCTTGCACGCAGAGCTTCAAATCTCCAGATACCAAACGAGGAAACTTCTCATCTGCCAGTTGTAGCTCGATTCCGCCCCGCAGATCTGGCCCAGTCGGCCTACCGAGGAACAGTTTCAATATCAGTTTGAAGACTTGGGCCATGTTCCCAGGCAGCTGGTTGACGTCGTCGCTCTTCGCCGCCATGAGAGTAAACCAGGCCAGCTCCGACCCCGGGCACGGCCAGCCGACCTCCAGGAAACTCCAGTAGCAGGCCTGAATGTTTCTGTTGTTGTGGCTCTTGAACGCATCACCAGGAGTGATTTCGTCACTGTACAAGACGATGCCCAGGCGATTGCCTGAAGCATCTAGCCTCTGCTTGAGAAAGTCGTTGAACACGGGGGACTTCTGACATGCAACCTCCAGAAACCCAAACGGATGCTGCACTGTCATGCGCAACTCATTTCCCTTTGTCGAGAGTACTGGTATCTGTTGCAGCAACGGCCCATGTCTGGTACTCTGGAAGGCCACGTCTTGTCGGTGGCGACGCTGGCTAGAAGACGAGTAGGCATCAGGAAGCTCACCCATCTCCCTGATCTGGTCCAGAAGCTGCTTGAGGGCACTCGCAGACACATGGCTCTTTCTGCCGAGATCGCCAAGCTTGCAACGTTTGTTCCTAGAAGATCTGTCGTTGTGCATTGCCCTGAACGAGCTTGAGCACGCAAAGCCACTGCGCAGCAAGACAGCAATGATACCGACGAAACCGCGCCACACAGAGGATAAGACGGAGCATGAGGAGGAGGAGAAGGACCTTAAGATGAGGAGGAGGAGGAGGAGGGGGAGGGACATGATCAGCCCTGAAGTTTTCGGTGGGGCACGGGGTACTTTAGCGTTTGAGTGCATTCTTCGTGTCGGCATATTTATCCTGCTCATTTTTTTGGGGCGGGGGGTGGGGTGGGGGGGCGCGCCCTTGAGACCACCAGGACGCTCCCAAGACGGCTCCACTAAAGCTCCCAAGGCGGCTCCAAGACGGCTCTCCAAGACGCTCCAAGATGGTTGCAAGACGGCTCCAATCTGGTTGCAAGACGCTGTAAAAAATATGATGATGGTGACGGTGGCACTGGTGCTCACGATAACGGGGTGTGTTGTAGGTGTGGTGTTGTTTATTGTGATGCTGTGATGGTGATGTTGGTGGTGATGGTTTGCATCTCACATGTTTGTCTGTGTTCTCTCCACGGTTGCGGCCTCTCGAGGCCGACCTGCAGCGGCGCTGACAGCGCCCACATAACCACACGATGTACTATATGACGGTGTCGCGCAGCAGGCTTGTAAACATCGTGCTTGTCACGATGTCAAAGAGAGCACACAGTGCACTATGCACCGTGCTTCGCAAAAACGAGAGCGGCATCGGC